AAAAAAAAAAAAAAAAAAAAAAAAAAATCAAACTATGTTGTTCTTTTCCCATAGAATAGAAAAGATCAATTAGTGCAGGAAATATGCAAGTGAAAAATCCAAGAGTGTCTATCAACCCCATAGCAGGAACTGTTTAATTAAATCAGTCCTCACTAATTTTTTATTTCAAAATAATTCCCAAATGGCAAAAATACCAAAAACAAAATGATGACTGCCAAATGGTTTGGTGTCATTTGCTAGTAGGAAGAAATCTATATTTTACAAACTATAGGCATGAGAGCAGCTGGCAAGCATGAAAATAAAAGCCAATGAGTTTATGTTATTCCTTCTATTGATTTATAAACCTTAAATGGCTGATAAGTCCATTTCCAGATAGCAATTGTTGTCATGCATTTCATGTAATCATCCAAAGTTCAACTCTGGCTTGCCATAACACTACCTCTATACAGAGAAGCTTCCTTTTCTAAACCCATCCCCCATCTGTTTTACATACTTGTCTTTATTGACAAACCTTGTCTATAAAGATCACACTAGCTATAACAGAGCAATATAAAAATGCCAGTTTATGATGCAAAGCTCCCTTGACTTCAATTATAAAACTCTACTACTATATTTCTGTGATGATTGAATAGTTAACATTAGTGTAACTGTGCTTTGATGAGGAAATAATGCTACTGCTTATAACAACAGCATTCAATAGATTCTACTATTTAAAGGAGAATTTCTCCCTGCAACAGATAAGTCTCAAGCTTTTGACCTCGACAGCAATTAAGCACAAAGCACTTCTAAACACCTTACTTGCACCTATTACACAGACCCAGTGGGAGGTGCAGCCATTAATCAGACAAACTGCAGGGAGTAACATTGTTGATTGGGCCATGGAGGGATGGTGGGCCCCCCTGCAGTTCCTTTTTTTTTTTTCATCTCCCACACAATTTAAAACAAAAAATGGAATCTATAGCAATGCTTTGAAAGTACGTGGGAGGGCACAATTTTTTTTTCCTGTAGAAGGAATAGAGGTGGAGCTCAGTTTGATGCAAAATTGCAAAGTGGTTTTGTAGGAATAGCCAGACTCCTTCCTCCTTGAAGAAACTAAAAATAACCCACATGAGCTCCCCACATTGTTCATTTGGGACTATCATTCCTTTCAGGTATCATTAGTAAGAAAAAATAAGAGATCCATACCAAACAATAGGACACATTCACAGCAACTGAGAAAGTTTCTATAAATAGGATCAATGCAGTTATTTTACAGACAGGAAAAGTCCTATTTTCATGATACCAATATATATACAAAAAGAAAGGATCCACTGTGTTTATCCAAAAGGATTTTGTATTTCTCAAACAAATAAAATTTGGTGTTTAGAATAAGGACAACTTGTTTCCACGAGGTTGAGAGAGTAATGATACTAGAGAAGACGGAATAGACCATGATATATTAGCCAGTTCAGGACTTTAGGAAAATTAATTCCCTAGGTTATTATACTGTATTATAACCATGTATTAAAGCTACTAGGCTTCCATTAGT